CTGCGGAGAAAGAGAGGGAGATGGACCACGAAGGCCAAAAGAATGAAGTTGAGATAGGATATAATAACGCCAAGTGGTGTCGTAAGCCTTTTCTAGGTCAAAAAGGACGGCAACAACGGAGGTCTTCGCAGCAAAAGCAGTACGAATATAGACCTCCAAGTTCACCAGGACATCTGTCGTGCTGCGGCACTTGCGGAAACCAAATTGAGAAGGGGAGAGGAGGTGATGGTGTTCCAGGAACCACATCAGATTGAACGTTAACCATACGTTCAAAGAGTTTGCAGACACACTTGTGAGAGCAATAGGGCGAAAGTCCTTAGGGGAAGTACCCAGAGACCCCGGTTTGCGAACAGGGAGGACAACGGCATCGAGCCAGTCCTCAGGGACTGACGACGACTCCCAGATCCGATTATACAGACTCAGTAAATACTGAGACGTGCTCGGAGGGAGATGGCGAAGCATCTCATAATGAATACCATCGGAGCCCGCCGCCGTAGAACCGCAGAGGGCCAGGGCAGAACGAAGTTCAGAGAGAGAGAAGGGATCATTATAGGGAAGCTGAAGATGAGTGCAGAAATCTAAAGGACGAGATTCAAGGACAGGTTTACGAAGAAGGAAAGATTGGGGAAGATGAAGACCAGAGCTAACAGAAGAAAAGTGGGAACCCAGTTCGGAAGCGACCTGCAACGGGTCCGCCACAAGAGTATCACGGAGGTGAAGGACCGGTGAAACATCGGGAACGAACTTACCCGCTATCTTGCGGATACGCTTCCAGATCTGGGTCAGAGGGGTCTCGGACGTAATTGTTGAGACATAAGATGCCCAACATTCACGTTTAGCCGTACGGATGGCCCTACGGCCACCGCACTCGCTTTCCGAAAGAAAAGAAAAGAATCGGTCGTCTGCCTACGGCGGTGCCTCTTCCAGGCTGCACGCTTACAGCGGACAGCCCGAGCACAGTCCGCATTCCACCAGGGAACGCACTTCCGTGGACCCCGAGAGGAAGAGCGAGGAATAGAGCGGAGGGCAGCATTGAAGACAGTGTCATGAAAAAGGAGGAGAGCGCGAGAGAGAGGCAGAAGGGAGAGGTCAGAGAGAGCAGCACTGAGGGTAAATAGGGTCCAGTCTGCCTTAGCAAACTGCCACCTAGGGAAAGAGAGGGAAGGGCGAAAAGAGAAAAAGGAAACAAGGATGGGGAAATGATCACTTCCATGGTGGTCATCAAGAACCTGCCACGTGAAATCTAAGTAAAGAGAAGAAGAGCAGAGAGAAAGATCAAGACAAGAAAGGGTGCGAGTCCGAGAGTCCAAATGAGTGGGCTCACCAGAATTCAGAAGAGACAGGGAAGAAGAGAGGAGAAACGGCTCAAGGAGGCGACCCCGGGTATTCGTCAGAACGTCACCCCAAAGAGAATGACGACAATTGAAGTCACCCAGCAGGAGCACAGGCTCCGGCAAGGAGTCTAGGAGGTGTTTCAAATCAGGAAGAGAGAGCGGGACACTCGGGGGGAGATAAACGGAACAAACTGTGTACCATTTCCCTACAAAGATACGAGCAGCAGAACAATGGAGAGGCGAAGGAAAAAGTAAAGGAACAAAGGGAACATCAGCCCGAATCAAGAGAGCAGAAGAATTAGAAGCCCCAGCAATGGCTGGGGGGGGGGGGGGAGAGAAAGGAATAGCCACGAAAACGACCAGGACGAGCACCAAGCATTGCTCCTGGAGACAGACACAAAGGGGCGAAAACCGCGAAATCAGAAGTTGGAGTTCGAGGAAATTGGCGTAATAACCTCGAACGTTCCATTGAAGAATGGACAACGACGAGAAGAGAAAGGACAAAAACAGAGAACAAGGAAGAAACAAAGGCGAAAGAGCAACAGAGCACGTTAAAGAATATCAGGGTCGGGATCAGGGTCAGCAAATTTCAGGGTTAGGGGGCATGGGTAAACTGAGCAAAGACGGAGGGAAGGAAACGGGAGAACAGATCAGAGGTGGGTGGGCAGGGTCCGGAGGAGGAGGAGGAGACAACGGAGAGGAGCAGTCAAGGACAGCAGCAGGAAGAGGGGGAGTAGAAAGAGGGGAGCGCACCCCAGCAAGAGCAGCAACCGAAAGGGAAGCAGGGGCCAAAGAAACCTCCATAGCAGGAACAGGGGCGCAAGCACTGAAACGGGAGGGGAAGGAGCAACAGAGCCAGAAGGAGGAGCTGAGGAAGAAAGCGAAGCCTTCTTACCCGCCGGGGAAGAGGAAGGAGAGGAGCCAGGCTTACGCTTCTGACTTAAAGAGACCGGTGTCCCAGCAACTACGTACCGGGCAACGGATTCCAGTGTCTCAACAGGAGAAGCCAAACGAGAGCACACACGACGGCCGTTAGGAGAGCGATGGACATCCGCCCGCACCGACAGGCGGTGGGGAGAGCCGATAGATGGAGGAAGAGGATGGGAAGGAGGATCGGAGGGGGACGAGGAAGAAGACACAGAAGACACGACAGACCGGGTAGAAGGGGAACCCCAGACAGAGGGCCAGGAGGAGGATCCTTCGGGAGAGAACCCAAAGGAACAGAGGAGGGGGCAGTGGGCGCATCAGGGTCCAAGGCCCGGAAACGGTTGCGAGTCTGAGGAAGGCAGGAAGGACGAGGAGAGGAAGAGCACAACACGCGAGCATAAGAGATATTAGCATAAGGCGGGAGCCGGCGAACCTGGCGCCTCGCCTCAGGAAAAGATAAACGCTCCCGGTGCTTCAGGTTGAGGACGGCTGCCTCAAGCTTGTAATGGACACACGCACGGGAGAAGGTAGGATGGGCCTCACCGCAGTTGAGGCAACGAGCCTGGGGAGAAGTGCACTCCGACTTAGAGTGACCTTCGCCACCACACAAAGGACAGAGAGAGACAGTCCCGGAGTAGCGGAGGGCACCATGCCCAAACCTCCAGCACTTGTTGCAGAGCCGAGGAGAAGGAATGTACTCCTGGACAGAGCACCTGGCACCAGCAAGAATGACAGAGGGTGGAAGGGACCTACCATCAAAGGTAATCTTCACAACCCGGAGGGGTTGACGGCGACTACCACGAGGGGGACGAGTAAACGTGTCCACCTGGAGAATAGAATGGCCCTGGGCAGCGAGGATATGTCGAATATCGTTGTGGCAGTCGCGCAGGTCCCGAACACCGGTCGCAACATGGGGCGGGAGCAAAATAGTGCCAACACTGGCATTCAACCGAGCGTTCTTCGAGACCCGAACGGGGGTCTCGCCAAGGCAGGATAAGGCAGCCAAGCAGGAAGCAGCATCCTGAGAAGGAGCAGCAATGACACGTGTACCGAGACGAGTGGGGTTGAAAGTAATGGAGGCATCCACGGAATCAATGAGATGTCGATGGAGGGAGAAATCGTCAGGAGGCGCAGAATTAAGAAGGAGGAGATCAAAATATTTGGCCCACGAAGCGGGACCAAACAAGGCTTGATAGGTAGCAGAACTGGAAGGAATCGAGCGAGGGCGGCCGTGACGAGGACGGCGGTGAGAACCCCCAGAGAGAGAGGGGTTAAAAGGCGCAGTAGTTACAACTAGAGAAGGAGCCGCGCCAGGGGACGAGGTAGTCACCACTGGGGGCTTGGGGCTCGACCCAACCACAGAGGAGGGAGGGGGGCCAGGGGAAGGAGTCAGAGAGGCCAAAGGAGGAGCAAGGTCGGGGCCCAATGCAGCGGAGGCTACAGAGCCCGGTCTTCCAATACGGACCGACTCGGGGGCTTGGTCGCCCACCCCACGAGCCTGAGAAGGTAAGCCAGAAGCAGCCAAAACAGGGGTTATCATCTATCATCTTGACGAAAAGAAGAATTCACTCACGAATGTGCCCCCACACCCACCATGGAGCCACAATTAGAGGCAGGACACCCAACAAGAAGCTATCGCCGATCTTGTCGGGGCCTCCTAGGGGTGCGTCGTGAGTATACGCCCCACAAACGCCACCTTAAGAAACCGACAGTCCGTCGAGATCGGGTTCAGTGACGAAAGGGGGATTGACAATAAAAGGTTCCCCTCGCTCTCGACGTCGGGTACTACAGTTCTACGGGTGCAAGAGTATGCCTCCTCAAGCACCCGGTACTGAACTTAAAATTTTAATAAAATACTTACTGAATTGAAAATTTACTTAACCTATATACCAGAAATCACGATACATTTCATAATATGTAATATTTCTTAAATGTTTTTACAGTAAATATTTATTTTAATTAATAGGAAAAATAACATGTTTCAAACTTTGTACATTTTATTCTGTAAAACAAAATAAAGCAAAAAATATAAATTATTTAACTGGCAGCCTCCCAGGTGCCTCCTTTCTCTATGAGGATGATTATAATGTCTAAACTAGCAGCTTTCTTGGTGTTCAATTAGTCTAAGAAGTCTGTAAATAATTTTCTACATGAGAACTAAAGGTCAAACCAAACCTAAATAAATTATAACATGTTTCCAAGCTTTACCTTAAGTGGCAAAACATATTTTCGTATGAGCCTGAAAAAATCCACATATAGGATGTCCAGCTGACAGGGTGACACAACAACATTTTCAAGATGAAGCTCACAATTACCAAACTGTATATTGGATTAATAGGAAGTTAATATCCTGATGTACATCTCGTGCAACACTGTCAAAATATATGACAATTGAAAGATTTATCCAACATGCACACCTTCAGGTACATTTTAACCTTAATTTGGTTAATGTGAACTTTCTCTAATGAAAACAGAATAAGACAATAAAGTCTTATTATCCTTCATGCCTAAATAGGTCCCTTAAAATACTATTGTGGTAATTACATCGTTTGCCACCCTATGGTCATTCATGTAGTTTATTCCCCATATGCACAATCATGTCTCTTCAGATTTTGAAGATGAATAAATATTTCCCCACAATCCAGACATTAAACATTTGCTCAGTGCAATGTTAGCAATAATGCTGCAGTGTTCTCTGAATCTTCTACACTCGGAACACTCCAAAGGCTTTTGACTCACATCACTATTACTATGACCCTCCGTAGCTTCAAGGCTACTAATTTTTTTCCACAATTTGAACACTCGTGAAGTTTCTCCTCCGTGTGTGCCATCATATGCTTCTTCATGTCTCCAAGACGAATGAATTTTTCCCCACACTCTGGACACTGGCGAGCTTTTTTACCTGTATGTAACATCCGGTGAGTCTTCATACTTCCAAGTTGACTAAATCTTTTCCCACACTCTGGACATTCATGTGGTTTCTCACCTGAATGCACTAACATGTGTATCCTCATGTTACCATAAAGACGAAATGTTTTGTCACACACTGTACACTTGTGAGGCTTCTCCCCAGTATGCATCATCCTATGTGTTTTCATATCTCGAAGGCAAATGAATCTTTTCCCACACTCTGGACACTCGTGGGCCTTCTCCCCCGTATGCACCATCCTGTGTGTCTTCATATTTTCAGGGCGGGTGAATCTTTTCCCACACTCTGGACACTCATGAGGTTTCTCCCCAGTATGCACCATAACATGTTTTTTCATGTCTCCATGACGACTGAATTTTTTTCCACACTCTGGACACTCGTGAGGTTTTTCACCTGTATGCATGATTAAGTGCTTCTTCATGTCTCCATGATGAGTAAATGTCTTCCCACACTCCGTACATTGGTGAGGTCTTTCCTCCGTATGCTCCATCATATGTTTCTTCATATTTCCAAGGCGACTGAAACTTTTCCCACACTCTGGACATTGGTGAGGTTTTTCACCTGTATGCACTGTCACATGCTTCTTCATGTCTCCAAGATGATTGAATGTTTTCTCACACACTGGACACTGGTGAGGTTTCATCTTGACGATCGTTAAGTTGGTGATGGTTATATCCTCCAAATGACTGCAGTTGTCTTGTGACGTGAGGTGTCTCCTGGAGACACAACACACAGTCCTCTCCAGGTGGAGGAGAAGCCTGAACACAGTAGGTGTCTTACTGTCCCTTCCTGGTGGAGTAGGAGCCTGGACACTGGAGGCGGCGGCTTACTCTCCCCTCCTGGTGGTGGAGTAGTAGTCCGGACATTAAAGGAGGTGTCTTGCTGTCCCCGTCCGGTGTGTTCGTGTGTCAGCAGCCGCTGAAGCACCGACCACAGAGACAGTGGCTCCGGCCGCCAGCCATTTTATGTCCCAAGTGACGTGGAACAATAACATTGAGGCGTCGCGCCGATAATGGCGTCCTCGGCCCCAGTTTATACTCTCCTCTTCTCAACTACTGCACGTAAATTACACAGTATATTCTTAGAATCATTATTCAAGACGCAGTTATTTTATTAATAAAAATTATGTCTATGTTGCTACTATTTTAAGTGTAATGTGTTATATTCAAGACCACTGACGTTCCTGAAGCACAAGCGTTCGGCTGACGCAGCGCAGACAATCTGGATTCAAACTTGTTTTTATCGTTTTATTAATTTTTAATTATTATTATTATGAGTATTTATATATACAGGAGTTCTTACATTCCTGTAAGAACTTGCTCTGTTCTTGCAAGAATATCTTGTTCTTGCTCTTCTTCTTATATAAGAAGAAGAAGAATAAGAATAAGGCGAATAGAGGCATTAGGTGATAGGAAGTGAGCCCAACCATTTCTGTCCCGCCCGGGATTTGAGCTCAGAATTCTTGATTACGAGTACAGAACGAACTCGACTGTACTACCAGGACCCAATTAAATACTACCTGAATTTACCTTAGGGCCACTACTCTCTAGTGGCCTCGACAAGGAGAGAAAGACTGGAACGTGTTGGTTCCCCCCCCCCCTTTTTCTGATTATTTTTTCAGGTTTTATTTAAAAATTCAATAGAGTTTTAACATTTACCTCTTGGGCGGGTAGGCGGTTCCATGGGTTTATAGCCCTGTGGGTAAAAAGCATCACCTGTTCTCTCTCCTACACTGTGGCTTGTTGAGCTTGACACCGTTGCTCCTTGTTCGTGTAACATCTGACCGGGTCAATATCCTCCAAATTGTTCAATATATTAAAAGCTTCATCAACTTTCATCTACCACAAAACCGAACACTTTCTCCTCCTTTATTTGGTCGGTCTCGAACTAAATGTTGATACAACAATATACATTAAATTTTGCCAATAGTTTAGCTAAACAAATTAAACAAAAATAAAATTCAAATCAAAATTCCAATGTTTATTTAGGTAAAGTACATACATACAAGGGGTGATACAAATATTGATGAATTTATAGATAGGGCTAGTACATACAATGCCTAAAGCCACTATTACGCAAAGCGTTTCTGGCAGGAAAAACACTAAAGACTAAAACTTAATACTAATTGAGTATAAAGAATAAAATGTGTTGAGAACAAATAAAAATAGAGATAAAAAAGGGAGGAACATGGATGAAAAAGCAGCACAAATACAATTAGGTCGACAAACAGCGTTGTTTAAGAAAAAACAGACATTGGTTGACAATAGAGGGGTAAGGTAGGTTACAGGGAATTTATTAGGTAGTGCTTCGTTTTTATCTTAAACTGGTTGAGAGAGGTACAGTCTTTAACATGGTTGGGAAGGTCATTCCACATTCTGGGTCCCTTGATTTGTAGAGCATTTCTAGTTTAAGTCGAACTCTTGGAATAACAAAACTGTATTTATTTCTGGTGTGGTGCTCATGGGTTCTGTTACAACCTTCAATGAAGCTTTTGAGGTCAGGATTGGCATTACAGTTCAGCGTTTTATATATGTATAATACACATGAGAGAATGTGCTGTGACTTAATATCTAACATATTCAGAGATTTGAGAAGGGGTACCGAGTGATGTCTGGGGCCAGAGTTGGATATTGTCCTAATAGCAGCTTTGTGTTGAGTAATTAGAGGACGTAAATGATTTTGGGTAGTAGAACCCCAAGCACAAATACCATAGTTGAGATAAGGATAGATGAGGGAGTAATAGAGAGTAACCAGGGCAGGGCGAGGTACATAATATCTGATCTTAGAAAGAATGCCAACAGTTTTTGAAACTTTTTTTGATATATTTAGAATGTGTCCCGGGAAACTCAGCTAGTGGTCAATGAGAACGCCAAGGAATTTGCCATCTAATTTGTTACAAATTTGGGTATTGTTTATTTTGAGATTTATTTGATTAGAGGATTTATTGCCAAACAGAATATAGAAAGTTTTGTCAATGTTAAGGGTGAGTTTGTTGGCAGTTAGCCAAAGATGGACTTTATTTACCTCAGTATTTATTGTGGCATTTAGAGCAAGGGGGTCAGGACTGGAGTAAATGAAGGTTGTGTCGTCAGCAAATAGAATTGGTTTGAGGTGTTGGGAGGCATTTGGAAGGTCATTAATGTAGATGAGAAAGAGGAGAGGGCCAAGTATGCTGCCCTGAGGAACATCAATGTTGATGGGTAGGGTGGGAGAAATTGTATTATTCACAGAAACATACTGTAGCTTGTCAGTAAGGTAGGATTTGAGGTATTGTAAGGAGTGTCCTCTGACTCCATAATGATGTAATTTAAGAAGAAGGTTTTGGTGGTTGACAGTATCAAAAGCTTTACGCAGGTCCACAAATAACCCAACAGGGAACTCATATTTATCAAGAGCTGCATGAATCGAGTTAAGCATACTAATAAGTGCATCGTTAGTGCTTTTTTGGGTCTGAAAAGCAATAGCAGGGGCTAAAGATCTGGAGGCTTTTTTGTAAATTAAAGTTGGTATCTCCTCGAGGGCACTAGACTTGGTTTTAAGGGAAAGGATTCTCATTGACATCAGTGGAATTAAGAGGCTTTAGGTACAGAGACTGTGGATAGTTACCTGTAAGATAGTCCTTAACATCAGTACTGGAAGATGGAATATCATTTGCAAGGGATGACGCAATGGAAGAGAAGAACCTATTGAACTCAATAGCAGAATCTGCGGCTGAAAGCTGACCATCGTTATTGGACAGGAGTGTTGGTTTGTTATTTAAAATCTTCTTAGATCCCAATATTTGAGAAATTGTGCTCCAAGTTTTTTTTAATGTTGCTCTTTATTTTAATAAATTTATCTCTGTAGTATTTAGTTTTGGCTCGTCTAATTATTTTAGATAGCAATAACGAGTAATTCTTTGAGAATTCTTTGGAGACAATTCCTAACCTATACTTCTTCTCAAGGTCATGTTTTTTATTAATGGAATAAGTATTCCCTTTGTAAGCTAAGGATTGTTAAGTCTTTTGGTTGTGACTTGTTTCGTTAGCATAGGACAGTGGGTGTTATAAAGGCTGAGAGTTTTTTGTAGAAAAGATTGCACTGCTAGGTTGATGTCCCCTATGTTCCCTAACTCGGACTCCCAGTTGACTTTATCAGCAGCAGTTATAAAATTGTTAAAATTTTATAAAAATTAGAAACAGAAAGCAATTCAAGAAATAAAGAAAACCCTAAAATATTTCTTCACATATGCTAAATCAAAAGCGAAAACCACTGCCAGTATTGGACCTATTCGTACTAGTGAAGGTTCATACACGGAGGATGACAAAGAAATTAGTGAAATACTAAAAAAGGAGTATGAGGACATGTTTAGCACTCCGATACTCAGCATGAAAGTGGAAGATTCGGACAATTCTTTATGCGGGATACTCAAACACCTGTAAATATAACTGATATCAACACGAGCGTGACAGATTTTGAAAGAGAAATTGACAATATGCCCATGCACTCAGCCCCGGGTCCAGACTCATGGAATTCAATATTTATAAAGAAATGCAAAGTGCCATTAGCACAGGCACTCAGTATAGTGTGGAGGAAGAGCTTGGACACGGGGGAGATACCAGATGCGCTTAAAGCAGCAGACACTGCCCCTCTACACAAGGGAGGGAGCAAAGCATTGGCAAAGAATTATAGACCAGTTGCACTAACATCGCACATCATAAAAGTATTTGAGAGAGTGATCAGGAGTCAAGTCACTAGATTCATGGAAACCAATGACCTCCACAACCCAGGCCAGCATGGATTTAGAGCAGGAAGATCATGCCTCTCACAGCTACTTGACCACTATGACAAAATCACTGAGGTATTAGAGGAAAACACATAATGCAGATGTCGTATACACATATTTTGCAAAGGCATTCGACAAATGTGACCATGGAGTGATTGCACACAAAATGAGGTCAATGGGTATAACTGGTTAAGTAGGACGCTGGATACTCAATTTCCTGTCGATCAGAACACAAAGAGTAACAGTCAATCAAGTAAAATCGAGCCCGAGCGCAGTTAAAAGCTCAGTAGCTCAAGGTACAGTCCTTGCACCACTGCTGTTCCTTATTCTCATATCAGATATAGACAAAAACACAAGTCACAGCTTCGTGTCATCCTTTGCAGATGATACAAAAATCAGCATGAAAATTACCTCTGCTGAAGACATTGATAAACTACAAATAGATATTAACAAAGTTTTCGATTGGGCAGCAGAAAATAACATGATGTTTAACGGTGATAAATTCCAGGTACTCAGATACGGCAAAAATGAGGATCTTAAACATAATACAGGGCACAAAACACAATCGAATCTGCCCATAGTAGGAAAACAGCATGTCAAGTATTTGGGAATAATGATGCCCGACGACCTAACGTTTAGGGAGCATAACCAAGCAAATATTGCGTCAGCCAGAAAAAGATACGATGGATTACGAGAACTTTCAAGTCCAGAGATTCCATCACAATGGTTGTACTCTTCAAATCACTTGTGTTGCCCCGTCTTGAGTACTGCTCAGTACTCACTTCCCCCTGCAGAGCAGGAGAGATTGCTGAAATAGAGGGAATACAGAGAACATATACGGCACGCATAGACGAGATAAAACACCTAAATTATTGGGA